ATGACGCCCGAACTGGCAGAAGCATGGAAATAATCATTCCCGACCTGACAGAAGTCTAGGAGTGAGTGCGCGAGGTGGTTATAAAAGGCTCTCCACCCCCCAAAGAGGAGGTATGCAAACTTTGCGCTATCTGATTTTATTTGCCTTTGAAGGATTCTAACTTGAGCTTCGGAGCCTTTATACCGGGTTCCCCCCGGAGCCTCCTCATCTCCTCCGTTTCAGGTTCCCTGCTACCAAGTTCAGAGGCAAGGTCATTGACAACTAAGACCGGCCAGATTGCGCATCATCACTTTCAACCTAGCCTTAGCATATATTCTGGGTTGCTATCAGAATTAGTGTCATTATCTTTCTCACCATAGGAGAGAAAGATAAGTCAACCTGCATAGGAGAGGCTCTTCCCCACGTACATTGAATGAGGGTTTCTATTTCTAACATTTAAATCCATAGAAACACCCTGAATATATTTTCTAATGTTTTGTTGACCCTAAAAGCTGATACATAATTTACGAAATGGCACAATACATATCGATGCATATCGTATAATACATGTCAGTTTTAGAACCAAACCAAGCATTGAAAAAAGATATTTAGAAAGCTTTTATAGGTTTAAATGTTAGAAACCCTCCTAATAATATCCCTTTTGAAAAGTTGGACAGATAAAAGTACAACAAACATCATTAACCCTGTATCAATAGGATACGGAGCGTATCGTATTGTATCTTTTGAAAAAGATACGATCTAAAATGACTGTTTCTAGGTGTTTCGGACCCCCAATTATTTTTAATAATAAAAGCATGCTAAAAGCTTTCCAAAAAATCAAAATTTGAAAAAAAAAACTAAAAAAAATAGAGTTCCAGCCGTTTCTAAGTACCGGTACGATATGACCGAAACTCATATTGTATCAATACTTTGAACATTGCCCACAGCGTGACCCATATGCACATCTCAGCGTGCATTGGAACATTTCTTGTACTTATAGGAAGATTTTTCCAATACACGGCTGGGATGGTGTATGGGGTGCTGATGCGAATTTCATATACAAGTTTCAAAATATCACAATGTATGATGCATATTGTACAATACATATGGGTTTTCAATGTTGTTGATACAATAAATTCTTTTTTCTTTTTTCTTTTTTTTTTTTTGTTTGGCTTCATGGTTATAATAAGGGTCTGTTTGGTTCCCCAGAATAGGTGCCTAGAATCGGATTCAGAATGGTCCATTCTGATTCCAACCGTTTGTTTGGTTGGAATGTATTCCAATTCCCATTCTTTGCAGTATGGGATTCCCCATGAGGGAATGGCTATTCCAGACTCCCCCACTAGGGAGTGAGATTTCAGATTCTATCAAGAAGTAAAGAATTCATGATAAAAAACACCCAAACCCTAATATTAATAAAATAATAAAATTTTATTAAATTAATAATAAAATAATGTTATATTAATAAATTAATAATAAGATAATAATAAAAAATTAAAATATATTAATAATTAAAATAACAATAAAAATACTAACACATTAATTATTAAATAATAATAAATTAATATCAAAATAATAAAACAAAAATAAAGAATATTAATAAACTAATAAGAAAAATAATAAAACAAAAGTTGTTAATAAAATAAAATATTAAGTACTAAAGTAATAATGTATTAATAAAGTATTCATAAATTAATAGTAGATAATAAATATTAATTTTTAAATACTGATAAGATAATAACAACAAAATACTAATAAAAACATTAATTATATATTTATTAAATAATAACAATAATAAATAGACTAATATATAATTGAAAATTTTCAATTGATTCTGATCCCAATTCCAAATGAACCAAACAATCAATATTACTTGTCAAAAAAACAACAATCAATATTAAATATTAAATCCCGACTGAACCAAATAAGTGTGAATAGATGATTCCGATACCAAATGTAATTCATAAGATTATAATTTCAATTCTATCCATGATCCAAACAGACCCTAAATTCTTGTAATGAGAAAGTATTCTCATTTTTTTTTTGGTAATACAAAATGAGATTTCATTAAATTTTATTGAGGATACACCATTGGATAGTCATTACGCAGGATTTGCATTAACCAGGAAGGCACGTTCATTCTTTCACAAAGATTAATGTTACAGATGCTGATTACCTTGCTATCCAGAAATCTTTCTCGGAGAGATTTGATATCACTTAATAATGTTTGGCTTCACGGATATAATATAATAAATTCTAGGAAAGAGCAGACACTTGAGTTTCTAGCGCATAGATATGTTCAACCATGATTGTAGGTTATACACTTTACTGAAATTCCCAGTATGAAGCATGATGCGGTTAAGCAAAATTAAGGCAAACTTATTACATATAATTAAGATCATATCAAAACAAAAGGCAGTTCATGAATTTGGATACGGCTGTTAACCAGTCCGGTTATTTATCAATACAGTTCCAAAGTCCAAACACTTGGGAATCTGGGATTAAGCAACATCGGAAAGCATCAAATCCGACAACCAATCTGGTGGGTCCTCAATCCAAACACTTTAGAATTAAGCACTTTGGACTTTTGAGCCATTATATTGGCAGCTTGATCACATTTCTAAAGAATCTAAACACTAATTCCAAGTTCAAAAGCGTCGGATAGGGATCCAAAATCACATTGCCAGCAAAACCCTAACTAATCACAATTTAGACTTCGCATGTTCATTGTGTCAAGAGCTGCCTCTAATACAAATTTCAGGAATTCAGAACTCAGCTAAATATTCATTAAATAAAAAAGAACAAAAATAGAGAAGGAAAAAAGGAGGAAAAATGATAGCAGCAAGCTGAGGCTCTTATTGCACAAAATTCCTTGGTCTCATTTCTTCTTTCCTGCCTTGGCAGCATCTCCAGCCTTAGTCTGAAAAAGAGAGGTCAATAGAGAATTTAGCACCAAGGAACAATAAAGCGAAAAATGAGGGGGAGTGAATTAGAAGGAAAACATAGAGCAGAAGTGCCTTCCCACCTTCTTCACTCCACGGATTTTCTTGGCTCTGTTCTTCCTTTCCTTCATCTGCTTCCTTGATTTCTCCACCTTGGTAGCTAGCCCATTCTACAAAAACAAGTTATGAAATTTATTAGCGAGAAGGGGGGGACTCAAGTTGTCCTCAAGTTCTTCCTTAACAATATTTCTACATGGAAAACAATCAGAAGCTAAAACATTAATCATATCAGTCGCCTCATCTAACAAATACTATACCAGAAACATTAACATAAGACAAACTGGACCCTTCCCCAGTTCTTGAAATGGATGCTGTGAACTGAGGTGTGATGAAGATTCCATGGCTAAGCATGCCAAGTATAACGACAAGTAGATAAATACCATAATATACAACATTTTCGCATCAACCATCACAATAAACAGACTTGTATCATGCACCACCAACAAAACTAAAAAGGAACTGCAATTCATTAGTATTCCCAGCAACAACAAAACAATTCAGGTGAAAAATAATATCGAGGAACATTTGGCAAGAAAAAAGAAACGACGTGTTCTAGGTTAACGCATACAGGATAAAGATCAATCCAGTGAAATACCATTACAGGGAGGCATGCAGAGAGGAAAAAACAACCTAATTTGAGTGTATGCTTTTGTGTGCATGAACGCGTGTTTATAAGAGAGAGTAGGCATTCAGGATAAGCTGTTATGTTAGCAACTTAGCATAGAAAATTAATTTGTTGTAACAGGTGTATCTCTTGGAAGGAACCATAGCCCCCTGTCAATAAAAAAGGTACTGGGTTTATGGAACAGACGTCAAGGGTGTACAAATAGCCAATGAGGTTTTCTCATACCAGCAAACCAAAATCTTTTCTAATTAACGGAGTTACCACAAAGGTGGCATCAAGACAGATCATAGACATCTATCAAGGTGGAACTACATGTGCCGGGGCAGAGTGACTTCAATGTGTATAGGACCTCGAGTCAAAGCATATATTCAATAATCAATATATAGGACCAAGCATATTGCAACACATAGGGCTTACCAAGTCTTAATATACAGAACTATTTTCATGCAAGTGTCCAAGCATGTTATAACAAAGTGTTTATTCTTGAATCTGTCAAGGGCACCAATCAATTGTGTGACAGCCACCTTTTTGACATGTTGTCCATGTTACCTTGGTCTAAGGCATCTCTATCCTCTACTCCAAACAGATGAGCATAACTCCAATAGGACATCTATCATCTAACCAGGCATTACTCCAGAAATAGTAATAACCCCCCACGATAGAACTAACTCCTCTACATGAAGCACTTGGGCTCCTTCAAAGGAAACTCAGTTCATATGAGACGAACTATAGAAGACAAAAGAATACAAATAAGGGGCAAAGAGAAAATAAAGAAACCTCCCGAATCAAATCAACCTTTAACTAAAAATTATTCTAATGAAAACCAATATCTAATAACCACACAGAGCACACCAAACCTCAAATATTTGAGCAATCAATGCTTGCACTTCGTTATGGACCTTATGGTGACAAGTATTGACTAATTTCTAAATGATTGGTCAAATCAAATTAATAATACTCATATGGCTACACTTGTCAACAACAATGATCTTAGTGCAGAAATCATTGTGTACAGAGATTGCCAAGAGACTATGAACTTACAGACTCAATGGTCAATACACCATCACATGAACCATATCTCTATTTCCAAGGATCATAACTTTACTAATGGAATATGACTGAAATATTTCGCTAAGACGAGAAAGAACTCTGAATGTTCTTGGAGAAGGGGCTTCATTAATCACACGAATCATAATTCCTTTCCAAAGACTCGTCCCATATGAAGAGTTAACTTCCCATGACTCCGACTCCCACCCAAATCACATCACCCCATATTTGATAACCATCACCCTCCTCCATAGAGAGCTTTCCTCCTTACTCGAACCCCCTCTTTTGGGTCTACACACCTTATCCCACTTAACTAGGTGGAGCTTTTTACCCCTCCCTCACTCCACCCGTTCCCATAAAAAATCCCTCTAGATCTTTTCCATTCTCCCTGAAATTTTTTGTGGAAGTCTCAGCAAGGATAAATAATATGTAGGCCTTAATAACACACTTTTTATAAGGGTTGCCCTTCCCCCCAAGGATAAATATCTCGTCTTCCACCCATCCAACCTCCTCTCTACTCTTTCAATGACTGAATTCCAGATTATGATGGAAGCAGAATTGCCACCAATGGGCCTTCCCAAATAGGAAAATGGGAGTTCCCTGATTCTGCACTCAAATGCTTCAGCAGACTCCAACTCCTCGACTTCTCTCTCCTACCCCTTTCAGGACACTCTTAGATAAATTAATTTCCAAACCTGTCAACAGCTCAAAGTTAGAAATAATTGCCCTCAGATTCAGCACCTGATTAACTGAGGCATCCAGAAATATAAGGGTGTCATCTGCATATTGTAAATGAGAAGCAAGGAGAAATGCATGAAATTTTTATGGAGAGAAGCAAGGAGGTGGTGAAAGAAAGTGTGTTGACTTGGGTCATTCATTGGTTGAAAACATCGGATAGCCTTTCACTTTTTACATTTGATGACCTTTGTGGTGACAAGGAGCTCTTCTAGGAAAGAGTTAGCATTCTCAAAGTGGTTACCCTCCCAAAGGTTTTGTCAAATTGAATTTTGATGGAAGCAGCCAAGGCAACCTAGGCCCTTCTAGAGTTGGGGGAGTTTTGAGGAACAAGGACATATCATTGCCATTTTCTCAGGCCTGGTGGAATGAAAGGCTCTAATTCATGAGAACCCGTTCATATCCCTCTGGTAGACTCTTCAACTTAACAGAAACTGAAAATTTACCCACCAATTCTTCAATGCATCGTACCATTTCCTCCCTCCAAAGCTCCCCATGATGGAGCAAAACTCCAATTAATATTTCTTTCTCCCCAAAAGCTCATGACCCATTTTTTGTCTACCTCCTGAATTTTGGATTCCTGGATCAACACTCTATTAGGTTTCTCCTTCATCACTTCCTTGATTGCTCTCTTTATAGCACTCTCTAGTCCTCTCACATTCGAACTAATAATCTTCATAGTCACAAATAAGTTGTCCCTGATCTTTGTCTTGCTAAAGTCCTCCCTTCTTACTTCCTCCCCTAGCACTGAATTCTATGTCTCCTTAGCCCTTCCACATCATTGATGAGTTTCTCAACTTCATTTGATTCTCTCCTCCTCTTCCCACCTCCCCCCTTCTTTTTCTTTCCTTGTTTGAGTGTTCACTTTAGACTTATCTATTTTCAGGCTCATTCTAACAGCTAGATCCACCACCGGGTTCTCTAACTTCTGTAAACCTTCTCTTGTTTTGTCCTCTTCAGAACTAAATACCTTCCCCTTTCCTTTGTTCAAGTCCCTCAAGTTCTACACTTCCATATTCTTTTGAGTCTCTTTTTTCAACCAACTCCTTCTTCCCTACTGTTTCCTTACCCTTCACCGCACCCTCTATTTCTCTCTCTTTCCCCTGACATCTCCATTCTGAGTTCAACGTTGGCATTCACACCTCCCTCTGATTCTTCCCCTACAGCAGTCTCACCACCAACAGGCACTACCATGATCTCTTTTGAACCAAGGATGGGAGTTGGTAAATCTGCAGTAACATTAGATGAAAGACTATTATCAAAATCTAAGACACCAGTGTTATAGGGGTTACCAGAAGGTGGAGAGATAGGCACAACAGGGAATGAAATTGCAATTCCTTTGTTTCCCTGCTCCAGAATAAGATTACCCAAACCTACAGAATCAATTGTACCAAGTTGAGAAGGTTCCATAGTTGCATTAGACTATTCCAACTCTGGCTTTGTTCCCCTAGGAGTTTCCAATGAAATTTTTTGGTTCCCATGTGATTCCACCATCCGGACACCTTGTTCTTGCTGCTCAAGTAAGAGAAGTCTCTTTTCCTCTTGATTACAAATGGTATCATGTTGGACCTGGACTGGATGGTTTAAGACACTATCTTGCAGCCGCACTCCCCTATCCCTTTCCACCTCTTTGATATAAGCCTCTCGTGAATCTTTCTCCCCTTGCAAGTCCTGCTTGTTACCTCTGCCATCAGAACCCTCTTTGCACCGAGTATAATTGATCTTCTCCACCGCAAACAAAGAATCAAGGTGAAGATCATCTTCATTGTCCAAACAGACTTGGATTGTACCTTCAACACTTCCAATGCTAGATTCGTCTTCAGAGTTGCTTTCTTCTTTAGAGTCACCACAACTAATCCAATGCCCATCATCATCATCATCGTCCCTCCAAGCTTCCTTCGATCTTGTATACTGAGGGTTGGGCTTATCTTGTAATGATGAGGAATGCTTGACCATACTTAGCATCTCCCAGTGCCCCTCCCCCTCTCCTACACGTGCATGGAGTCAGCCTGGATGTCAAGCCAACCTGTCAGTTCACCCCCAGTTCAATGGTTTCCCTCCTATTTTATTTCTCCCCCCTTAGTGCATCCACGTAGGATAAAGCTCCACCCATCATAGTTGTTCGTTTGAACTCAATTAGTTTTGAAAATCCAGCCATAAAAAGCAAATTGGAGCCTAATGGGGCCTTGTTATCAAATGAACAAAACCATTTCCCCTATTTGTATCCATCTAAAGCTTCTGTGAACTGCAACCACCCCATTTTTCCTTTCCTTCTGGTATACACACCATCTGCCTTTTGTCATTCCTGAACAGTTCAGTCACCCTAAACTAGATGTTCAAGTGTAAAGTAAATTTCACAAGCACCTTAGTTCTACTGGGCATTGACTGAACATCAACAACAAAACCGAAAAAGTGAATAATGGTTAAGTTTAGATGTTGCTTTCAGTTTTTAAGATCCTTTATACAGTAATATAAAAAATATACATTCCTTCTTATCATTATTTAAACAAACAAAATATATTCTATTTAGTAAAACATTTTTCAGTTCAATTACTGAAAAAAAACTTGAGCATGAACCAAGAGTTAATATTAATGAGGTAGGTAAACCAATATGGTTAAAACATTAAGCATAGAAAGTGTTTGGATGCAAGGAAACAATCATGAAACAGAATCACCCAAATCCAGTAGATTCCTCTCATCCAAATTGGGACCTGACTCCTGAACATGGAAACAAAGGTGGCATTTGAGGGGGGAAGAAGGAGCTCCAAAAATCACCATAGAATGCCTCTATCAACTAAAAATATACAAGAAATAGGTACGACAATGGGAACCACATAAAAATGAACGCTAACTTGTATTAACTAGCAAGGAGTTCAAATTACCCTGATGAGCCTATACTTTGGCTCATACTTCTTTGCACTTTCAACAGAATCATAAATCAGCCCAAATCCAGTAGACTTCCCCCCTCCAAAATGGGTCCTGAACTTGAAAACAAAGATACCATTTGGATCTTTGACCTCGTACATCCTTGCCAATTTCTCCTTTAGCTCAGCCTTCAGAATGAGAAAAAAAAAACAAAATAAAATAGAGAAGATCAGATTATCAATTGAACAAAACAATTCAAAGGAGTGAAAAAAACAAGTGTCAGTCATATAAACACAACAATTATAGATAAGAGGAAATAAAAGAAACTATACCTTTGAAACGTTTGCTCTCCCTGGATGCAGCACATCAATTATCTGTGTTAAGACAAAGATGCCAACAACAAAGTTAGAAATATATGATTTTAAAACTTCCCTCTATACCTTTTATGGGGAATCGAATCAGAGCAAAGAATTAAAAGGGCAGAAGACTAACAAACTGCTTCCTCGAGAGAAGCCTGTTGGTCATGAATTTCCTTGTTCGGATAGTAACTGCTTTGCTGTCTGCCATGACTCTGGAAACAAAAGCCAACAGGTTAAGAAACACCAAAGGCCAAACATAGCAGAGTCAACCCTAGCTTCTATTCTAAAGTAAAAAAAAAAAAAACCCTGAAATTGATGGGATGGAAACTCTGTTTTTATCAATAACCAATCAAAACTAAACTTTATTAATGAAGTATTAAAAACATAGTAGCAGTGCTAAAATGACCAAATGAGAACAGCCAGGATGAAACCCATTCAAATCCTCAAGATTGAATTTTTTGTCTTCAGTAAAGGTGACAATGAGATGCTAAAAGTTCTAGAATTTGGGTGTCAAAAACCATATAATTGAATTTCCCAAAACTGTCATTTCAGCAGGCATGTTAGTGGCAAAGAGAATCTCAGGTAGCAAAATTTCTTTCTATATTTGACATTGTACTAAGTATCCATCCACCTTCAAAGCCCTAAATTTAAAATTTTAAAGTAAAATTTATAAAATGCAGAAAAAGGATATACATTACGGGTGATAAGAAATCACCCAAGAAAGTACAAGAGCAAAACTCCAAATCGTGCCTAAACTCAGAAAACCAAGAGAAAAGCCAAACCACTGCCACCAAATGGACTTTACAGCCCAAGCAAATTAACACCTCAACTACCCACTGTCTAATCTTATTGACATCTCACAAACAGCCAAAAAACTAGCCAGCATAAGTTACAACAAACTAAACATACTAAAAAAATCCTTTGGCCCACCTCCACAAGCCACACAGCAAAATTAAAACCAATTACAGCATGCAAACCTTACCCCTAGTTCCTCGGCCACAGACTCTTGAGCTCTTTTGACAATGTAATCAATGCTGAAAGAAGGACTATCATTTTGGCCCCTCTATTTCCTCAAAAAAATGGCCTCTCTAATTGATGTGATGACTGATTGGTGCCCACAGGGACTAGTCAATAAAAAGAGATATCTTCTAAATTTAGATTATTGAACATTCTCTCATAAGTTGATATAGAATACACTTATGGAAAAGGGTAAATTGCTGAAACCCCCCTGAAATTTCTGACCAGTGCTGAAACTTCCCAAAAAACTAGCCAGCATAAGTTACAACAAACTAAACATACTAAAAAAATCCTTTGGCCCACCTCCACAAGCCACACAGCAAAATTAAAACCAATTACAGCATGCAAACCTTACCCCTAGTTCCTCGGCCACAGACTCTTGAGCTCTTTTGACAATGTAATCAATGCTGAAAGAAGGACTATCATTTTGGCCCCTCTATTTCCTCAAAAAAATGGCCTCTCTAATTGATGTGATGACTGATTGGTGCCCACAGGGACTAGTCAATAAAAAGAGATATCTTCTAAATTTAGATTATTGAACATTCTCTCATAAGTTGATATAGAATACACTTATGGAAAAGGGTAAATTGCTGAAACCCCCCTGAAATTTCTGACCAGTGCTGAAACTTCCCATGAAGTTTAGTAATTGCAATCACCTCCCCTAAACTTTCTGATACAGTTACAAGTAGGCCCCCTCTGTTAGAATCCTCAAACAAAGAGCCACAAAATGTCCAAAATACCCATGCAGTTACTATCAAGGATGGTTTCTACAGAAAAAAATACAAACTTTATGAACAACAAAAAAGAGAATTTATGCTTGCAACACCTTTTAGTGATTGATATGAAAGGCAAATTTGGAAAATAAATCAATTTCAAAATGAGATTGGAAGGGTTTCAGGTAGTGATTCATATGAAAGAGGAAATTTGGAAAATAAACATTTTTGCTAAAAGTAGTCACATGGGCATTTTTTGGCATTTTCATGCTTCTTTTGAGAAGATTGTACCAGAGGGGGTCTATTTGTAACTATGTCAGAAAGTTCAGGAGAGGTGATTGCAATTATCAAACTTCAAGGGAGGTTTCAGCAACAACCAGAATCTTCAGGGGATGTTTCAGCAATTTACCCTATGGAAAAAGAAAGAACACTAAACATTTAGTTTACAGTTTTGCAAACAGAGAAAAGTTTGGCTGGGTAGGCTACGATAGGGAATCAAAGCCTTTTTCTCTCAAAGAAAGAGCGACCTTGGCCATTAAGTATACCCTTTGTTTGTGGTAACTCCTTGCCGACACACCACTGATTAAGAGAAAACTTAAAAGAATTCCAACCAATTAAAATAACTTAAAAGAACTCCTCCACTCCCTTCGTTTATTTTATGCCTATTTTCTATTTTATATATCACCATCTTATGCCTATTTTCTATTTTATATATCACCATCTTATGCCTATTTTCTATTTTATGTATCACCATCTAATCATGTTCAATCACAAATATTTAAAACAACAGTATTAAATATAGATATATTCTATATTTTTTCAAAAAATTAAAGATACAAACAAACAAAGCTTAAAAAATGATTGTGATTTCTCTTAGCCAACCTAGTTGATCCTTAGTCATTCTAGATGACTCCATGAGTATCTACCAACTAGATAGTGATGCAATCAGTATGGCCCTCCATTGACTAGCCAGTCAACTAGTTGACAATTAATTGATGCTTTGATAACTACTCTTTCATTTAACTCTAAACTCAGGCATCTCAACAACTAACTACCCTGGTGAAAAAGATCAGCTCAGCCCAAAAAAAAAGAAATAAATAAGTACAAGATACAATTCAAATCACAGAATCAAAACCATTACTTCAACAGATATAAATAATAAATAACTCAAATAAATTAGGAAAGATTGAAATCAGTAACAGAGAAAAAGGCATGTGTAAAGTACATATTGTCTATTTAGATTTAATGTCAAACCAAATGGGAAAGTAGGCATCATAGCTAGCCAATAGCTGATTTAAGTACAGCAATGGCTTTCTGAAATGCTACTTTTACAATCAGATTCCCCACCAACTCACACATTTCCTCAAGGTTTACAAATTACTAGAATTTAAGTCAGTCTGGAAACATTCAGCACAATCTACAGGTCCCAAACTCAGCCTAATGAAATTGTCTATATAGGCACACATTTTACCAGCCCAAATTAAAAAATCCTGCCACCATGCCTGTAATATAGTTTCCATCAAATGTAACTTGTTAAGAGAAATAAGCATGATTGACAATAACGCAAGCACTCAAAACACTAGAAGGATGAGGTATTATAGACATCATAGCGAGCCAAGAACCAATTGAAGTGGAGCAATGGCTTTCTGAGATGCCACTTTTACTATTAGGTCCTCAACTGGTAGAGACATTCTCCCAAGGTAGGAATCATTACAACCCTCGGCAGTTTGTGACTCAGAAAAGCTAAGATTTCACAGTAACTAGCAACTAGGGGCCTATGTCAATTCATCATAGTGATCTATTATATTCATCATAGCGAGCCAAAAGCCAATTGAAATGGAGCAATGGCTTTCTGAGATGTCACTTTTACTATTAGCTCCTCAACTAGTTGAGATATTCTCCCGAGGTAAGAGTCACTACAACCCTCGGCAGTTTGTGACTTAGATGAGCTAAGCTTTTACAGTAACTAGCAACTAGAGGCCTATGCCGATTCATCATATTATAGACATCATAGCGAGCCAAGAGCCAATTGAAATGGAGCAATGGCTTTCTGAGATGCCGCTTTTATTATCAGCTCCTCAATTAGTTGAGACAATCTCCCAAGGTAAGAGTCATTGCAACCCTCGGCAGTTTGTGACTCAGAAGAGCTAAGCATTTACAGTAACTAGCAATTAGGGGCCTATGCCAGATTCATCATAGCGAGGCATTATAGACATCATAGCGAGACAAGAGCCAATTGGAATGGAGCAATGGCTTTCTGAGGTCGCTTTTACCATTAGCTCCTCAACTAGTTGAGACATCATCCCGAGGTAAGAGTCATTACAACCCTCGGCAGTTTGTGACTCAGAAGAGCTAAGCTTTTAAAGTAACAAGCAACTAGAGGCTTATGCTGATTCATCATATTATAGACATCATAGTGAGCCAAGAACCAATTGAAATGGAGCAATGGCTTTCTGAGATGCCGCTTTTACTATTAGCTCCTCAATTAGTTGAGACATTCTCCCGAGGTAAGAGTCATTACAACCCTCGGCAGTTTGTGACTCAGAAGAGCTAGGCTTTTACAGTAACTAGCAATTAGGGGCCTATGCCAGATTCGTCATAGCGAAGTATTGTAGACATCATAGCGAGCCAACAGCCAATTGGAATGGAGCAATGGCTTTCTGAGAAGCCGCTTTTACAATTAGCTCCTCAACTAGTTGAGACATCACCCCGAGGTAAGAGTCATTACAACCCTCGGATGTTTGTGACTCAGAAGAGCTAAGCTTTTACAGTAACTAGCAACTAGAGCCATATGCCGATTCATCTTGTTACCCAAAGTTGGCTGCGCCAAAAGCTTGGAAGTGGGTATCTATAACCACAACAGTTTTAGTGGGTTTCTATTTAATTCCAGACATCAAGGATTAGTTGAACTGCCAATCTCGGAAGTACCGTTGGAATAGAAGCAAAAGTTCTTATCGATGCATGTCTTCAGTGGGTAGGTAATTTAGCGAACTCAACAAGAATTTAAACAACAGAAACAACAACAAGAACAATAACAAAATCCAAGCCTATAGGATCTTCGATTACACCCTTTTGTATAGAGGATTCAATTAATCATAACAGAACAACGCGTAAATCCAAATAATTCTAGAATTATACTACTTCACTTGTGCATAGAAGCTAACCAATCAAACAGAAAACGAAAGATCCAAAGTAAAAGCATATATCTTCCAACAACAGCGTGAAGGAAAAGAAGAACAGGAGGAAGAGGATGACGGAAGGAACGCACCTCTAGGGATTTTTTGGTGGGGAATTGCAGAGAAAACTCCTATTCTTCCCGCCCTTTCGATTATTCGGTTCCAGCCCTCGGTCCTTCGTCTCTGCTCAAAACAGCAGTAGAGGATTTTGAGGGAAGGGAAAAACCATTGTCGTCGTTAGGGTTTATGATATTTTCAGTTTGTAACCTGAACCGTTGGATTTTAAGATAAAGAGATATCGGATCAAGTCATCACAGTTCGGTAACGTTGATGATTTGATCAAAGTTATCAATAGTCCCGATTCGGAGTCCGATCCATCTTTCTCGAATTCGGAAGGTAATATATGAATAGAATAAACAGATTCATCCAATTAAACATTAGGATAAGTAGATAGCAATCCACAAATCTAAAATTATAGGATTATAGCATCCTACCCGTGGATTTGACATCACGGTCAGGATTCATTCCACTTGTACAGTGGGATTCAGATTTTTTAGATGGATTGAATTATAAAATCCATTAGAAAATCTATGATGGAGAAATATATGATATGAAAAGAATTTTCATCAATCAAAATCCATTCATAAATTTTGATAAATAACACCTGATCGGCTATCACATTTATAATTCTAGTTGATTGATCAAACATTTTTTGGATATCATATATTTTTCATATTATTTTTTAGTAAACCATCCAATTAATAATTGGATCCAAATTTGGATGTACTCCGACGATTCGATCCAATTAAGATTCAAGCCCGATCTTTTATATTTAAGATTGTGATGTAGGTTGTAATCGGAAGGATCTCGCTACATCCTCGTTCAATCAGATTATCAAGCCTCTTGATCCCAATCTCGTTGTGATTAAAAAAGAAAATATTTAAAAAAGGTTTGAAATTTAATTTTAAACACTTTGATTTCAGTTCTTTGTGTTGTAAACACCCTACATTGTGAGTAGTTATTTATATTCTTGTAGGGGTGAGCTCCAAGGTTTAAAGTATCGTTACGTATCGGCCCGTATTGACTGATACGTATCATTCCGGGACCCTTCCGATACGTCCCAACAATGGGTGTATCGGGGGTCTGACCAGTTCAGAGGATGGAGGGGTCCTAGACCGGCTTCCCTAAACCAGTTTGGAAAAAAAATAAAAAAAGGTAAAAAACGAGTATCAAAACCTCCGATATGCCCCTACTGGCATCTCGGGCGTATCAATATTTTGAACCTCGGTGAGCACTGATCGGTTAAAACCGAACTGAAAATTCCGGTTTTTCAATTTTTGGATAAATCAATTCGGTTAATTCGGTTTTTTGACTGATTTGGTTTTCGGTTTCGGTTTTTAGAATTAAAATTTCAGTTAACCGAATTAACCAAACTTCTTATTATTATATGTAATATATAATATATTATATATTAATATATAATATACTGAAATTTAATTCATAATATATATTTTATAATATATAATATATATTATATATTATAATATATATAATAGAGTATATATTATTATAATTCAATTTTAACCAAAATTTTCGATTTTTGGTTATTTCAATTTTTCTAAATTTCAGTTTTGGTTTTTATTTTTTTAGTTTAGTTTTAAAAATTCGGTTTTTAACTAAATAAACTGAATCCTCAGCCCTAGATTCTTGAACTTTTTTGCCCATTAAGGCTCTTCTAAGAATTCTATTGAAGCAAGGAGAAGAAGGTGAGATCTCCTCCCATTCTCTTTGTTCAAGAACCTCTTACATGTAATGCTTTATTGAAAAATGTCAAGGGGGAAGTAAGATGATGGAGGGATCTCTTCCAAATCCATTTTCTAATTCTCCTCTAATCTTCATACTAGTAAGCATATGGGTTGAAATATTAAATACCCTCCATGGAGGATTCTAAACAATAAAACTTCAGTAGAAAACAAAAGACAATACAAAACATTATAATGATATCAAAATAGGCACAAAGAAGTTGAAAGCTTAGGCACTAAGTCAATTTGAATTGGGCAAAGGCTAGTGAAAACATTACATGATTGTTGTAATATACAAACATAAGATTTAAGCATGCTCTCTACACCTAACCAAGCAAGAACTCAATGTGAAATTTGTTAGACAGTTTTGTATGCCCTTAGATTCAATCTGATTTGATGTACTTTTGACATTTAGTGTAAATAAATAAAGTGCATGTTTGATTCATGTTGTTTGGATTGATTTTGTGTAAGACCCTAAAACTGGACACTCATTGAGACTCGTGTTAGTTTTAAATATTCACAGCCATTGGAAAAGTCTGGGGAGATTTATCCAGCCAAGGCTGATACTGGTGTGCCGCCAAGTGTTGGGATGGC